CCAGCCGGCGAAGACGCGGACCCTGCCCCTGCTCCCGGCAGAACTGGGACACTGGCGAGGAGCAGGGCGAGCTGGTGGTATGCAGACGGGCGTGGCGCGAAGGGGCTGGCCTTCTGAGGAGGCCCGGCCTTCTGAGGAGGCCAGGGGCTTCTTGCATGACAGGGGCCTCCTCGGAAGGGCCCTGAGGCTTCTGATGAGGCCCCCTGGAACCCTGACCTTCCAGAGTGCTTAAAAATAGCAGGCTTATAGATCTATCTGGAGTGCCTCAGACCTCGACAGGAATTAGGACGTCGACGTCCTGGTGCTATTTTTTTAGCCCTCCTGGAAGGTCGGGGGAAGCCTGGAGGGCGTCCGACAAGACCCCCCCGCCTCCTCGGAGGCCGTCCGGGCTCCTCAGAAGGCGGGCCCCCCTCGTGCCCCGCCCCCCCCCCCTGCGTGCGCCGCCGACTGAAACCAGGAGGCTGCGGAGAGGCGCCCACGACTCGAGTAGGGGATCACTGATCTACTCCTAAACTGATCCCTCCCTGCCTGATATATCTATATATATATATATACACACCCCAGGAGCGCGCAGAGGGCGCGTACATCCACGGGACATCATGTACGTATCTCGTTCGTGGATTCGGCGGCGGGAACCAGGTCTGGGGCAGATGCATCCTGTGGCCGAGCCCCTGCTCCAGCGCCTCGAGCCCCGCCTGCCCCCCGCCTGCCTGCTCCGGCCCCGCGCGCACAGGCCCCCGCGGCCCGGCCGGAGGCGGGCCGCCGAGGGCCCGCCGCAGCTCACCAGCCTCGGGGGGGAAGCACACCGGCCGTGGCAACATGGCACGCCGCCGCGGAGGGCCCGCTGCCTCGGATCAGAAGCCCAACGACACCACCCCACCTACAGTCGGGGCGTTGACCTAAGGAACCCTAAATGAGGAACGAGGCACCTTTTTTCCACAAGTTGAACTTCGATGTCCCATCGAAAACATAAAGGAAAACCTGAGGCAAGCTGCGAAACAATCAAGGAACACCGAGCCCCTCCCCAACGAAAAGGGTTCCTTCTTCAGCGCCCCGACTGTACCAGGAGATCTGGCGTGGGCCCTTGCGTGGTGCACGCCGCGGCGATCGGTGGACCGTGGCGCAGCACGGAGGGCCGCAGGCGGGGTGGTGCCTCCTGTTGCTCCGCCGACTGCCGAGGAAGCACCGGGCCCTCGGGCAAAAGCGAAGGAGCAATACGCCGGCGGGACACCAATGGCAGCGTGTCGTTACGATTGTTGTTCGTGTCGTGTCTCGTAGCGGCCGATTCGTTACCCGGTGAGGGGGAGGGGCGGCGGGCCATGGACATGCTCGGGCGGGGTGGGGCACGTCGGGGCGGAGGTGCGCTGCGATCGCCAGAGTGTGCGCACGAGCACCAGCATGTGAGAGAGAAGTCCAACCCTCCCCCCCACGCATGATCGTTGCCGTCACCGCGGGGGAGGGGGGAAACAACCGCTACGCACAAGAGGATAGGACATGTAACAAACAATCGAAAACTAACAAACACAACAAAACGATTGCACCATTGATGCGGATGGTGCTGATGCGGACGCGGATGATGATGATGATGATGATGATGATGATGCTGATGATGATGATGATGATTATGATTATGATTATGATGATGATGATGATGATGATGATGATGATGATGATGATGATGATGATGATGCTGATGCTGATGATGATGACGACGACGACGAAGACGACGACGATGATGATGATGATGGTAATGATGGTGATGGTGATGGTGATGGTGATGGTGATGGTGATGATGATGATGATGATGATGATGATGATGATGATGATGATGATGATGATGATGATGATGATGATGATGATGATGATGATGATGATGATGATGATGATGATGATGATGATGGTAACGCTAATGACGATGACACTGCTGCTGTGCTCCTGCTGCTGCTGCTGATGTGAGGATGACGACGATCGAGATGCTGCTGGCGATGACGACGAGAGAGAGGAGGAGGAGGAGGAGGAGGAGGAGGAGGACGGAGGAGGAGGAGGAGGAGGAGGCGGGGAAGGAGGAGGAGGAGGAGGAGGAGGAGGAGGAGGGAGGAGGAGGAGGAGGAGGAGGAGGCTGGAGGAGGAGGAGGAGGAGGAGGAGGAGGAAGAGGAGGAGGAAGAGGGAGTGGACGCGGGGCGCTGATGCAAAACGAAAACCCAAACGGCTGGGGGAGGGTCCGGGAAACAGCCGTTACGCGCCAGAAGATGAAGAACAACTATATCCCTGATACCCTTTCTTGGTGGCGCGCACAAGCGGGCAGGGGGGGAAGCTTCTTGCTTCTCAGAAGGCGCTGGCCCTACATCTACAGACAAGGTTCGCGTCTTCTGAGAAACAACCTCCTTCTAAGAAGCCTCCCCCCCTACCCCTACCCCCCCTCCGCGCGGTGGCTCGGTTACGCGCAAGAGTGACCCCGGGCAAGGGTGACCTTTGGTGCGCAGCTTTCTGGGGGGCCGCGTGGGGACAAAACACGAGCGCGCAAGGCGGTGCTGCCGCCTCGCGCTCGGCAATCGGGGGACCCCACTGTGCCCGCACCACAAGGTCACTTCGGCGAAGGGTTGGACTTATAGGGGAACGAAGAATGACCCAAACATAAAAACTCTGAGGTCCGCGCGGATCTCTTGGATCCGCTCTGGACCCCCTCCCTGGCGTGCGGAGCGCGCCAGGGTAAGCGCCGGGGGCGCCGCCAGGGGGCCCCAGCGCGGATCCGAGAAGTCCGCGCGGACCTCCGAGCTTTTGCCTTACGTCCTTCTTCGCTCCCCTGGCCTAGCCGAGTGGCTGCTTTTGTTGGGCCCGTTTTCCACCACCACCACCATAAGTTGGAGGGGGGAGGGGGTCCTCCTCCTCCTCCTCCTCCTCCTCCTCCTCCTCCTCCTCCTCTTCCTCCTGCTCCTCATCATCATCATCATCATCATCATCATCATCATCATCATCATCATCATCATCATCATCATCATCAGCAGCAGCATCATCAGCATCATCATCATCATCATCATCGTCATCATCATCATCATCATCATCAGCAGCATCATCATCAGCATCATCATCAGCATCATCATCAGCATCATCATCAGCAGCATCATCATCAGCATCATCATCATCATGATCAGCATCAGCATCAGCATCATCATCATCATCATCATCAGCATCATCATCATCACGATCATCATCATCATCATCATCATCATCATCATCATCATCATCATCATCATCATCATCATCATCATCATCATCATCATCATCATCATCATCATCATCATCATCCACCTCTTTCCCCCCTCCAACTTATGGTGGTGGTGGTGGAAACATCGGGCTGGGCGAAAGGGGGGGATAGCAAAGGGGGGGGGTGAGAATCAGCTCACGTAGCTGATTTTCCCGGCGCCTCCCGGCGCCGGGAGGCGCCTGGCGCCGGGAAGCGCCCATGCATCGGAGAATGAGCCCGGCGGCGGGGCCGAAACCAGCTGCATGCAGCAGATTTCGTACCCACCCCCTTTCCCCTATCCCCCCCCTTTCGTTCGGCCCGAAGACAGGCCCCTCCGCTTCCTCCCCTCCGGCAGCCGCCGCCCAGGCCCGGCTCCACCAGGTAGGCGAGCAGCGCGGCCAGGCACGCGGCCGCGGCCGCGCCGCGCCGCCGCGCGAGGGCGGCGGAGCCCGCCACGGCGGCCTCCGCGGCCTGGGCCCGGGCCGACTCCCGCCGCAGCACGGCCAGGGCCGCCCGGAGCCACTGTCCTGCGAGGGGCAGGCAGAGGCCTCCTCCTCCCTCCTCCTCTTCCGCCTCCTCCTACTCCTTCTCCTCCTGCTCCTCCTCCTCCCTCCTCCTGCTCCTCCTCCTCCCTCCTCCTGCTCCTCCTCCTCCCTCCTCCTCCTCCTCCTCCTCCTCCTCCTCCTCCTCCTCCTCCTCCTCCTCCTCATCCTCCTGCAGGGGTCGGGACCTCTGGGGCCGCGCACTGGAAAGAGCAAGTCGTCGGACGCCCTGGCCTGAAAGCCTCCGATCGAAAGGACAATCAAGCTTACGCGTCGCTGATTTCTAATCGTGCTCATTTCTAATTGTGCTCGTTCCTAAATGTTCCTGGCCCCCTAGTGGCCAGGAAGAGGCCCAGGATAGAACAATTAGAAATGGAAGGATCTTGGCCCCCCCAAAAAATCAAAGAACTTTCGAATAATAAGACATGGACAGTGTGTAGAGGTTGACACCAGCACCAATATCGGCGTTGTGCCTCCACCGAGGGAAGAGTGTCCCGATCTCGGCGATGGTGATTCATATTCTGGCTTCCCAGGCGGCCGAACGATTACCAGCAACACCGAGATCTAGGATCGTCTTGCCCCGGTGGAGGCCACCCCCTGTGTTGGTGTTGGTGCCAATTTCCAGGCCTCCAAAAATCGGGTCGGAGCAGATAGGGGTCGAAGGTCGCGCCGCATCGCCGATGCATCGGCGATGCCTCGGCGATGCATCGGCGATGCATCGGCGACGCATCGGCGACGTCGGCGTGGCGAAACTTGTGCCCCACATCGAGCCGCATCGCGGATGCATCGGCGATGCGTCGGCGATGCGGCGCGATCCTCCGACACCATTTACTCCGACCCCATCTAGGAGGCCTAGAGCAGAGCGGTTCTCACGGGCTCTGGTCGGGGACGCACACGGACATGCACAGTAGTGCGGCGAGGGCATTGGACAAGGAATTCGTAGATGAGGGGTCCAGGGACCAGAAGCAAGTGGAACTCCAATCGTGGATTGGCCATGGATCCCACCGCAGCCCCCATCGGGTGGGGAATACTCCAGGGTCTGAAACATCCTGGGCTCATTCCTAAGCCAACGCCGCACCGTAGTCCGTTGTGTCCTCCTCGGAGGCGTGCGTCCTCCTTGTAATGTATCGATTCCCGGGCGCTACGGCCAAAAAGCGCCCGCCCCCGACCTCGTACTATGAGACTTCTCGGCGAGCGCGCGTCGCCACGGGGA